GTTCACAGGTGTATCCACCTGGGATAACTCACATAGTCTTATATTTGAAGTGAGCAGTCTTTCATGTTTAAGTTAAGCTTTAAACAAAGGTTTAGGGGAAAAAACATCACAATATCCAGGCCAGCAATGGCATGGGACAGATACTTGGTTGGTAACAGCTCTTAGGGCCTAACAGAGATGTGTCTTGTGTCCATGGCTGATCAGAACAGGGGAGTTAAAGAAGGGCTAGAGAAAGCCAGGCATGGTGGCAGACATTTGTAACCTCAGAATGTGGGTGCTGCAGGCTGGAGGATGTGGAGTTCGAGGTCATTCTCAGCTGCAAGATGAGCTCTAGGTCAGTTTGAGCAACAGGAGATATTGTCCCCCAAACAAACAAACGAACGAACAAACAAAATAACACATAAGAAACATGATATAGAGAAGCCAAGTTTGTTCATGGGGTAAAGGTGCCTGCTGCCAGCTCTGAGGACCTGAGTGGGAATTGTGGGTCCTACATAGTGGAAGGAGACAACCCACTCCTGCAATTTGCCCTCTGACCTCTGCATCAGCACCTTGACACACCCACCCACACACAAAAAATAAATAATAAATGTATAAATCCCAAAGAACCTGAATAAAATAAACACACGCATACACAGATGCACACACCTGTACATATACTTGCACTGGGGTCTTTAACAAACATTTTACTCAACTTTTTTTGTCTAAAGAGCATCTTTTTTTTTTTTTTTTTTTTTTTTAAATTAGGGAATGGCTTCAGATTGGAGAGCAGTCAGCTGTCCTGAAAGAATGAGAATATTTATCTCCTAGACTTAGCCCAGGTGTTCCTGGGGTCCTGGAAGCCGTGACCACTATGCTAACCGACCTACTCTGCTCTTCCTTACATGCTGGTATTTTCTAGCCCTGGCCTGGGTCTAGCTATTCAGCCTTCCATTCTTCCGCCCAAACCCACACATCTTGGTTTCCATTCCCAGGTTGGCAGCAGTGTCTGCTTGCTCTCCCCTGTACTCAGGACCCTGTGCTCAGGATCTGACTATAACTGCTTGTTGCTCCTACTACAGAGACCCTCATTGCCCTGCTCCTGGAGCAGAATGCCACCGATTTCCATGCTGGGTCTGGTTTCTATCGGTTCTTACTATGCCAAGCCTGTAATCTTCTGAAAGGCCATTTTCTTTCTGAGCCACTGTGTAATGACAGCAGTTCCCGCCCCGGTCACATGACCCTACTGTCGACCCTCCTAACGTGCCTGTGTTCCAAGAAAACCTGGAAATTAAACCCTTTAGCCCTCACCTCATGGTAAGCCCCAAGACTCCAAAAGACCAGTAGAACCTTCTACCCTCCCCCCACAATTCCTTATGTTTATCTGTTGTTTTAAGACCGTCTCTTGTAGCTCAAGCTGTGCCCTAACTTGCTGTGTAGCAGAAAAATGACCTTGAAGTTTTGCGCCTCCTTGCTCCATCTCCCAAGTCCTGAGGTGACAGGTGTGTGCCACCATGCACGGTTTGTATGGTGCCAGGGACCAAACCTAGGGCTCCAAACACAGTATGCGCACACCCTACCAAATGAGTCAATTCCCCCATCCCCAGGTTCCATAGATTCCAATTATGTTTTCTGTATGTATGTAGTGTTAAGGGAATGAATAGCTGGTCCTAAGCTTGTCTAATTCTTTCTCCCTTCCCCATCTCTCCTCACCCTTCCTCCTTCCCTCCCCCCTTCCCTCCTTCCTTCCAAAACAATCTTTCCCAACCCTGAAAACAAAACAAAAGCTCACCATGCAACTGAGAATATCACTGAACTCGGGTTCCTCCTGCCTTCACCTCCAAACTGCTCAGATCACAGGTGTGCGTCACAGGTGTGCGTCACAGGTGTGCGTCACCATGCACATTTTGTGTGGTGCAAAGGAGTTAATCCACGGCCTCACATGTGCTAGGAAAGTTCTCTTCCAGCTGAGCAACATCATCAATCCTTTTTTCCCCTTTTTCGGATGTATTTTCATGTATCCCAGGCTGGTCTTGAACTTGCTTTTGTGTCAAGGATGACCATGTCCCTCTCTTCTTGTCCCCACCTCCCAAGTGCTGGGATTACAGGTGTGTGCCACCATGACCATGTTGGTCAAGGTATTCTGCAAGAAAGGCGCGCACACATACACACACACACACACACACACACACACACACACACACACACTTTCTTCCTAGGACACAGACATTTTAAATGCCAAATCTTCTGAGTAAGGAGAACTGTACCCAGCCAATGTAGAAGCCAGAATCAGTTGAAAGCTCTGATTCCTCACAACAGTGAGAAAATAAACACCTTCCAGAACACACAAACCCTGCATTTAGTTTTCATCCTCCCTGGGCCAGTAACCCACCCATTTGGTAGATGGGTGTGGCTCACAGGAAGGTGCGACTTCAGCGCCTCTGGAAAACACTAAGGGTCTGAGTAAGGGTGGGCTAGGCCATTGATGGGCAACACCCTCCATGGCCTGCCTGTCTGTGCCACTTTACTAGGAAATAATAAATAAGGGGAGATAATGGCTGTAGAAGCTCCTGGAATAATTTCACAGGGAATTTAAAACTCTATGCCAACAAAAAAAAAAAAGTGTATTTACAGTGGGGATCTATTTTATAGAATTCATTTATTTATCTAATACCAAAAAGCTTGTAATAGTCCACAGAGTTTGCAGCTAGTCTATGACTAGACCACTCTAAATGTACCCACTCTAGTCTGGAAGGTTATACAATGGATATAGACACACACCACACACACACACACACAGCTAAAAACCCACTCATTAAAATGTGCTTGGAAGAGTGGCTGGATTAAGCCGTAGGCTGGGACAGAATCTTTACTTCTACCAATTCTGTGTTTGTGGGTTAGTGCTGTGCTTGCTTAGCATTCGTGAAAGCCTGGGTCCTTCCCCCAGTGTTGTATAAACCCCTGCCTTTTAGTTCCTTAGCTGGGAAAGAGAACAAACCTCATCAAGACTCGTAGACTGAAAGCTCTGGCTGTGGTGTCCATGCCTTTAAACCCAGCCCTTGGGAGGCAGAGGCAGGCAGATCTCTGGGTTCCAGGACAGCCTGGCCTACAGAGTGAATTCCATGTCAGACAGAGCTGCACAGAGAAACCCTGTCTAAAAGAAAAAAGGAACACACACACATATACACACACACATCCAAAAAAAAAAAAACCAAAAAGTCAAGAAAAGAAACAGATAGGAGAGGCATCTCGGTGGATGGAAGTGGTCCTGGTCGGCACAGCCTAAGGGTCTGAGTTTGATTCCTAGGACCCACACGGTGGAGGAGGGGACTGACTTCTGCTGGCTGTCCTTTCACCTCAATTGCATGCCATAGCATGTGTGTACTTACACACACACACTCACATTAATAGTAATGAAAAAGAAAAAAATACAGTTTAATTTGATTGCATGCATGTGTATGCATATGTGCACATGTATATGTGTGTGCCTGCTTGTGTGTGTGTGTGTGTGTGTGTGTGTGTGTGTGTGCTGAAAATTAAGTCCAGAACATTCTGGATAAGCACTTTATGAATGAACTATACCTCCCAAGCTAGGAAAATATTTATAACATATTAATTACGAATATCGCATAGGAAAACCTATGATATGTAAGTGAACCTTCCTTCCTTCCTTCCTTTTTTTCAGGACAATGTTTCTCTGTGTTAACAGGCTTGGCTGTCCTGGGGCTCACTCTGTAGAACAGACTGGCCTTAAACTCAGAGATCCGCCTCCCAAGTGCTGGGAATAAAGGTGTGCCACCAACACCACACCCAGATGCAAATGACCATTTCTAAGCAACTGGGAACCCTGACAAAATATTTCAGCTGACAGCTGACACGAGGAGAGTATAATGCTGGGCTGCCATGTCACGACCTCACTGCCATTTGACCTGATCCATGAACGTTGGGAGAACGGAATATGAGCTATCGTGTGATGGCTGGTGTCAATGCCATCACAGAGAGGCAGGGCGAGGGATTCCTGTTTGAGGTTAACTGAGGCGAGAAGCGCCACACTAAAGGTGGAAGGCGACACTGTGTGCGGGGTCCTCAGCTGCAAGAGAAGGGAAGGGTGAACTTCCTGACTGTGGCTGTTATGTGACCAGATGCTCCTTGCTCCCGCCACCATGACTCCCCACGGGGACCCTCCCCATGAGGGTCAGCTGGCCAGACTGGCCTAGAAAACGCTTGGGGAGCCACATTGAAGCTGGACGGGCACACGGTATAGTAGAGAGTCCTGCTCGTAGGAGCCAATGACACGACACTTCCCGAGAACCAAATGGCATGGGTGACAATCACCATGGTAGACAGCTCCGGACAGCCACAAAATGAAAACAAGCAGACAACAGACATCCTGGGCTGTGCCACACTAGGGATAGTAATTAGTAGTGGAGACATACGATAAACCAAAACTTTAGACCATGTGGGTGGATTGCAGTTTCCTAAAGGTACCAGTAATTCCTAATTCCCTCATGATCTTCATATGAGATGTTTGAGGACAAACTGTCCTAAATATAACACCGTAGCAGGGCTGGGGAGATGGCTCAACGGTTAAAGTGTTTGCTTTACAAGCGTGAGGACCTGAGTTCGGGTCCCCAGAAACTCCCATAATGTCTGGGTGGCCGTAGTGACCTATGCATATTTTAATGTAAGCTTTGAAGGTGAACAGGGCAAGCTGGGTAGCAAGACTATCTCTGTCTATGTCTGGGTTGACAGATATCTACACATGCAAAGCACCCATCAGATATAAAATGAAACAGTACAAACTTTAAAAGAAGCAGCTTAGCCTGAGGCAAGTCTCCCCTTAGAGAAGAGGGGCTGGGCATCGTTAACTCTTCACTTCCAGCAGGGAGATGAAGAGTGCAGTTGCGAAATGCCCCAAGCACCTGCATTCCCAGAGGTAGCGGCTCCCGATGCCCGAGGTAGACAGGGTGGGGACCTTCTGGAAGCCCTGTATGGGCTCCAAGTAGGCAAGTGGTGCTTACCTTTCCCGCAGGCTTGTACCAGCCCATACCACTCCCCACAGCTGTTACACAGCAAGGTGAAGGCAGTTTCTTGATGGCCTGTGACGGAGCCTGGTGCACACACATACAGCAGCTCATCCCCCATCTCCAAGCCAGTGCGACCCTGGAGGATGGTGTGTGGGAAGGATGGTGGGTCTCCACACGGCCTCTCTGAGGAAAAGAACATCAGTCAAAGTCTCCAAGCCGTGCTGGCTACTCCTGTCAGCTGGACAGGATCTAGAGCCACTATGGGAATGTATCTCTGGGCGTGTCTATGTGGGATTTTCTAGGTTGGGTTAATTGGGTTGGAGGACTTTAATGTAGGTGGCACCATTTCATGAGCGGTGGTCCAGGACTGAATACGAAGGAGAAAGTAGAGGAGTGTGGTAACGTGAACCTTTCATCCCAGCACTTGGGAGGCAGAGGCAGAGGCAGGAAAATCTCCTGTGAGTTTGAAGCCAGCCTGGTCTACATATCAAGTTCCAAGACAGGACTACATAGAAGAGAGAGAGAGACAGGGACAGAGACAGGGATAGAGAGAGGCAGAGAGAAACAGAAATAGACGGAAAGATGGAGAGCTGGCTAGCAGACTGGGATGCAGGAGACTTGACCCTTCTTCACCACGTATGGACTGTACCCTCAGGCTGTGAGACAAAAGAAACCCACCCTGTCAGGCACTCCACCCCAGCATCATGTCAAGTAATGGACATACAAATGATATAGAACTTTTCCAGACTGTGAGACAAAACCGAAACACTGCAGACACCCTGTTCTGTTCCCCAAGTACCACATGTACCCAGAACCAGGGTCCCAGGGGCAACCTCACTTAACTCATGGTCTGGCAGAATGCCTGACCGGAGGAAGCACCCCCCTACACACACACACTCACACAAATAGCTTGTTGAATGACTCAGTGTGGTACCACTGAGTTTGTGATTTTAAACTGCCAGACACCAAGACCCCTGTGCCTTGAGTGACTCAGACATACAAGCCCAGGAGCAGTTTCTTTTGCCTTGCTAGGATGAGGAATAATACGTCTCTCATCAAGAAGCCACATCTTGAGGGCGGTGGTGGCGCACGCCTTTAGTCCCAGCATTTGGGAGTCAGAGGCAGGTGGATTTATGTGAGTTTGAAGCCAGCCTGGTCTACAGAGTGAGTCCCAAGACAGCCAAGGCTACACAGAGAAACCTTGTCTTGACAAACCAAAAGCATAAATACAATAAAACTGGAGATGGAAATGGGGAGGCTACAAACAAGCACACAAGCAGGCAGGCATATACGAATTCATTCTTTCTTTACTCCTGAGCAAGGATGTGGTTGTCTAGCTGTTCGAAGTTCCTGTGCTCATGGATGAGTCTGATACTGTGAGAGCTAAGATTGCCCCCACTCCCTCCGTGAGTTGCTTTTCGTCAGGGTATACTATCACAGCCGGCAGAAATGAAAACAGGCCAGCGATGGTATGTGTTATCATTTGTAATTCCCTAAGTTCAAAGGGCGTTGGACACCTCTTCATATGCTTGCTGTCTGTGTATGCCTTTGGCAAAATACTTGTTCAGGTCTTTTGTCCATTTTCTGTTTTACCTGTTTTCTACTTTTATTTAGTGTTTGGTTTTTCGAGATAGGTTTTCTCTGTGTAACAGCCCTAGCTATCCTGGAACTTGATTTGTAGACCAGCCTGACCTCAAACTCACAGAGGTCCGCCTGCCTCCCCTCCCAAGTGATCACTCCGTGGCTTTGTCCATGTTTTAAACGAACTGATATAACAGTCATTGATATTGCTGAGTCATCTGTCAGTCCTTCCTGTCGTCCACGGTCCTTCCTGTGTTCCCTGGCCTGTGGCTCTTTTCTCATTCTGCTGTGCACCTATGGGACAGAATCTAACCCATAAGCCCCAGTTACCAATTGCATCTTTCACAGGCTGTCCCTGTGGTGCCTGCTGCCGTATCCAAGGCCACCTAGGCTTTCTCCTCCACTGTCTCCAGGGGTTTGTAGCCTGTTGCTTTATCCTTAGGTCTGTGATCCATGTTGAGTTCGTGTCTGTGAGGGGTTTAAGGTCAGCTTCAGGATGTCCAGTCGTTCTGGTATCTAAGTTGATAAAACTGTCTCTATTCCATTGTGTCTCTTTGTCCCTCTTTCAAAGATCAATTGGCTGAAGTGATGTGAATCTGGTTTTGAGCACTCTGCTCTGTCACACTGATCTGAGTTACTGTCCCACAAGCACCCTCTCTGCTGCTCACTGTAACTTCCAGGAGTCCTGAAGTCCAGCAGTGTTGGAGCAGATTTCATTGTTTAATATTGAGTTGGCTGCTCCGAGTCCTTTAGTCATAGTGTCTACAGCTATTGATTACATCCATAAAAATAATGTCTGAGCATTTTAACTATGGTATTGTGACAAAAAGAAATCAAGTTGGGAAGACTTAACATGTTGAACTGTCAAGTCTTACTGTTCACATGGAACATTTTTCTTTCTTTATCTCCTCAGTGTTCTGCAGTTTGCCCCATGCTCAACATTAGTTTTAGATTTATATCTAAGTATTGCACTTGGGGAGCTCTACTGTAAATGATGTGTTTTGAATTTCAAGCCCCACTGTGCACTGCTGTATAGAAGAAAGCAGAGTGTGGACTTTTATTTAGTAACTTTGCATTCTAGTTTCATTTCTGTTGCCATGACAAAATATTCTGACAAAAAGCAACTTAGGGTTTGTTCGGCTGACAGTTTAGGTTATAGTCCCACCACTGAGGGGAGTCAAGACAGTAGGGTGTTAGTGACATCACATCCACAGTCAAGATAGGAAAGGAGAGAAATGAATTCTTGCTTGCTAGCTCACCTTCTTGCTTGTACTCAACTCAGTGCCTCCACTCTTACCCACTTAGGACACTCCTGCCTAGGGATGGTGCTGCCCACAGTGGCCTGGGCCTTCCCACATCAGTTAACTGAGACAGTCTTCCACAGCTGTGACTATAGACAGTGTTGATGATCCCACGTTGAGATTCTCTCCCTAAGCTATTCCAGGTTATGTCAGTTGACTCTATATACATCATAATTTGTATCTTGCTGCTTTGCTATGATCAATTTCAAGACACTTTTGCCAATTGTTTTAGGTTCTGGAGTTGGAGAGATGGATCAGTGGGTAAGGGCACTTGCCTTCGAGCCTGATGACCTGGGTTCAATCCCCAGAACCCACATAGTTGACAGAGAGAAGCAAGTCTCAGAAGTCATCCTCTGACCTCTATGCACACACACACCAGGTGTGCACAGACCCTCTACCCACTGAGCAAATAGAGAGACATTGTTGAAACATTGTTCGAGGTTTTATACCTATACAGTCATTTTATCTGCAAACAAAAGACACCTTTTCTTTACTGCTCTGTATACCTCTTATTTTATCTTACTTAAAAAGGTTTATTTTTATTATTTTTAATTATGTGTATTTATGTGGGAGTTTGTGAAGGTGTATGTTATTTCTTGGAGCTGGAGTTATAGGAAGATGGTCATAAATTACCAGCTGTGGGCCCCGGGAACCAAACCCCTAAACCCCTGCCCTCTGGAAGAGCAGTCCAAACTCTCAACCACGGAGCCATCTCCCCGTCCCCCTCCATATACCTTCTCTTCCTTTCCAGTTGATGTTGGAAGGCAGGGGTAAGGGGTAAGTTAGTTCTGATCTCAGTGAGAGCCTCTTCACCTCTTCACCATGGTGAGAAACCCTTCACCTCTCATCATTCAGGAAATGGGAGCAGCAGGGTTTTATTTTCTAAATGCCCTCTGTCAACTCAAGAAAGCCCCTCTCTATTTCCATAATGGCGAAAGCTTATTTTATCAGCCATGGGTGCTGGATCTGCTCAACTGCTTTTCTCATGGATCAAACTTGTCACATGATTTCTTCTGTAGTCTGCTGAGGTAATGGATTATATTTTAACGTGAGAACAGATAAGTGCATCTGGGATCAGTTCCACTTAGTGTATGTGTGTGTGTGTGTGTGTGTGTGTGCGCATGGGCTCGTGTGTGTACATGCAGAGTCCAGGGCAGGACATCCAGTGTCCTTCTCTATAGCTCCCCTCCTCTCCTCCACCGTGGTATAGCTTTGACACTTGGTCTGTCACAAAAGCTGAAGCTTGAGTAGCTGCTTAGCCAAAAAGCTCCAGGATCCCCGTCTCCACCCCCAAATCTGGGGCAACAGGCACGTACAACTTTTTACTTATATGATGAGGATTTGAACCCAGAACTTAATACTTGCAGAGTAAGTGTTCTTAGCCACTAAACCATCTTCCCAGCTTCCCAGCTTTTTGGGGTAGGCTGGAGTGAGGTGTAGGGTCTTACTATGTAACCCAGACTGACCTCAAATTCGTGATTCTTCTGCCCCTGCCTTCTGGAGTGGTGGGATTCTAGGCAAGTCATCACACAGCTCTGTAATTCTTTTATATCTTGTTAGACTGAATTTGCTAATGTTTCCTTGTCTGTTCATGAGATATATTGGTCTGTAGTCCTCTGTTCTTGGAATGTCTTGTCTGGTTTTGGTTTGGAGGTAATAATGGTTTCATGGAATGAATTAGGAAGTATTCCTTCTGCTTTAAACTTCTGGAAAATTTTGCAGAGAATCAGCATAATTTCTTCCTTAAATGTGTGGGCCCATCTGTGCCTGATGCTCTCTGTTTCAGAGTTATTGTTTATTCTGTTTTCTGGCAGAGACAGGGTTTGTGAGATTGCTCCTGTCTTCTTAACAGTTTTGCTAGACTGTTCTTTCAGTGAACTGACTCATTTCCTCTAGGTTTTCAAAGCTGAGGGCACAACTACTCAGACCTCATTTATATTTAATTATATGTACTTATGTGTGTCTGTGTGTGGGTTTGTGCACATGAGTGCAGGGGACAAAAAAAGGGGGTCAGAACTCCTGAGGCTGGGATTACAGGTGGTTGTGAGCCATCCAGCATGTGTGCTGGGAATCAAACTGCCCCATGAGCTTGCCTAGCCGTTGCTCCAGCTCTATTTATGTTATTTTTAGGATTTATTTAATATCCACAAGATCTGCAATGATTCTCCTTTTCCCATGTCTTTTCTTTTTTGGGGGTGGGTGGGGAGGTTTCACTGTGTAGCTCTGGCTGGCCTGGAACTTATGTTGACCAGGTTGCCCTCAGACTCACAGAGAGCTGCCTGCCTCTGTCTTCTGAGTGCT